GCACTCGTAGCGCGTGGCCGCTGGTGGATGTGCCGCCGCTTGTGTATGCTCGCAGATTCAGGGTGTTACATCGTGGTATAGAGTGATCGCGAGAACAGCCACGGAGCAAGCTTACTCCATCAAGTCGCTAAATAGTCGTCCAGTAGTTTACCATGTGCACACTGCCAGCGTGGCGCTGCAAGGCTCGCGCGCTTTTGCATGCATGCAGCCCGAATTCAGTGGATGGTGCGCACCATTTATATTGTGGCGCAAGCGCACGACACTCTCAATCAGCGCCCTTCAACGATGGGGCGCATAGGCTGGCAAAGTAAGAAATTTGATACCGCTAAGATGTCGCGCCTGAAACGCGCTCATAGACATAAATGGCTGCACAAAAGCGTATAAAGTTTGTGAAGATTTTTTGTCACGACACAAAAGAAAAGCAGCAGCCACGGGCCTGTTTCCGTGCAGCATCGAAACAATGACTTCGTATATTATTTCGCCCCGAGCACCTAGCCAATAGGGCGTGCAGCTATTCTGCATGGCAAGTATTTGTAGAGCTTTCGGTCACGGAAGAACAAGCGAAATTCTGCTTTTTTTTTATTCAACAATACGCTACAGTTTGTACTATATAACGACACTAATAAATAAATTTCTATGTTGCATGAAGGCAAGCTTAGCACTCATTTTCTTTCTTGTCGAGGCAGAGACCAAAAGCAAAATTTTCATCATTTTGTGCACATGTTTATCATGCCTGCGAACGCACAATCTCTAACTGAATCCTGTGTTTTACTTTCACAGCATGCGTACCGCAACGCCTAAGCACGCAGAACGAGAGGGTCGTCTTAAGGCGTGGCAATGAAAGTGACGCGCAGCGGCGAGCCAGTTCAGTTGACATGTTGACATGTTCAGTTGACATGTTTTCAGAATTGTGTACCAATTTACCATGCGGATTGATGCTTTCTATGTAATTAATCCCTGCCCACCTGTTTGGTCTTCGGACTGCAGTATGTCTTAAATAAATAAATAAATGTGAATGTGCGTGAGCCTTGCAGCGCCACCCTGGCAGTGTACACATGGTGAACTACAGGCCGAAAATTTGGCGACCGGAAGGAGTAATCCTGCTTCGTAGGTGTTGTCCTCTCGCTCTATACCAAAATGCAACACGTGGCCTCTACGTGCACCAACGAGCAGCGGCACATGTACAGTCGGCCACACGCTCCGAGTTTTCTGTTTCTATCCGCGAGTACTGTACGTATAACGTCAGTGCTGCAGGAACGAAAGAAAAAAAATCGTTAGGAGATAAAACGCACACGTAAAAAATGCGGTCTCACGAATAATGCTTGAGAGCGAAGTCATGGCTGGTCCATGTGCACTCATCTAGCAGCCAAGTTCAAGCTGCAAAATAAACAAGGCAAGGGGTTAGCATCTGCAAAGGAATCACGTAAACCGTGGAGAAAATACCAGATAGAACGGGTGAGTGAACTTTAAGCACCGGGACGCTGCGTTGCAACCCGCGAAATCCACATTACACCCCAGCAACAATACTGGCACGAAATGATGGCTGAAGGTGAGCCACGGGCACTCCAAGTCGGGTCCACTTCCTGTTAACACAGCCCTATCTAAGCTACTTGAGATAACCGCGAGAGCCTGCTCTGTGATTCAAGGAGGTAGAGCCGTGCTGGCACTATTCAAAAAACCCGCTCGCTAAAGTTCCACGCAACGTTAACTTCGGTTGAATTGTGAATCTATAGCGAGTGATGTTTGGTGAACAACGCCCCGCCGGTCTGTGCCATGATAGGGGGCTCACCAATTTGGTGCCGAAGACGAAGCTCGTAGTGCTCCTCAAACATCAGGCGACGTTGTTGGTCATGCGCAGCTTCATATTTACAGGTAAAGCCCACAGGTCAAGTCCACACACACATGCGCAAAAACAGGGGGTTGAAACACGACTCGTTCGTATTACGACTATCGCACGCCCCGTGTCTGAAGAAAGCCATTCCACATGGCGCCGACGAACTGCCCCCTACACAACGCACAGCCCGACCAGCAGCGAATGAAAGATGAAGATGGGTAGCCCGTGTGTAACATTTTTTTTTAACGGCGATTCTCTGATAATCGCGCATGCGCTATTGCAGCCACATCTTGTGGTGCCATTACGTCATAGGACCGTTCTTTGCCGTCTTATCCGCGAGATCTGCGCGTGGCGTACTGCGATGGAAAGAGATTAAAGGAAAGATGTACAAAAAATTGGCCCCGTAACTGCATGTTACACCGCAAATTTTGTCTAAAGACGATAGTCTTACGTCTGTAAAGTGTGAACAAAACGTTTATTTGATGTTCTGGGCAAGAAAATTGGTGAATGGTAGGAACGTCTGTGCTTAACATCGCATCTTCCATTGTTCACTTTGTTCGCGTCGGACATACCGCACAAACACGATAACTTGCAAGGTGCTGAGAAAACCAAACCAACCCCGTATCTTCCTGCCATCTTTTTAATGTCATGCGATACCTTATGTAGGTAGAGCATTACTTCGACCTTCCACCTCGCACTCTTTTCCGATCATTTCGTGGTGCAATGGAATACGACCCTCAAAAGTGATTCTGCTACAGCCTGAAGCAAACGTCTGCGGGAAACCTGCATTTCCGAAACGACTCACTTTTGAACCAAAACAACCTCTGACTTTGTGGCGATAGGTCTTGGAACTTGCCTCGTCATCTTGTTTGTCTTTACGCGTGTGTTTAGTTTGTTTCAAAAAGGGTGGTGTACTTTTTCGATAAACCAGTTGTCAGTCTGCGATCGTCCTGTCCACTTTGTTCTCGTGTCTCGTTTTTAGCGCAGTTATGATTTTCCCAAATGTCTTACCAACCAGTCCCCAATCATACGCTTCCTGGGTTGTTGCAAAGGCATTTAAATGTTCTGCCAACGAATGTTGTAATTGAAACGGGCGCCTCGGAATAGGATGAAAAGTCTGGCATCGGAATATTCGGCCCAGAACATTACTGGTAATTTATCTTACAATTACCTGATTTTCTTCCTGTCTTTCTTGCTGAATTTACGTCAGTTAACTTTACGCAAGCTATAGATACTTCGATGTCAGTAGCTGCAATTTTAACTGGCTCATTGTCATTGTCGGCGTGCTCTTCTCTTTCCACGTCTGGTGACACAACTATATTGAAACTTATTAAATCACTAGTTCCCTCTCATATTCAGTTCTCACTACATTGCCACAGAGGTTAACTTCACAATGAAATGTCTGATTTTCTTGCAAAAAATTCACCCTCCGCTTCGATAATTTTCATTTCCCCCCTAACAGCACACATCTTGCTGGCACTATGATTTCGCACACATACAATCAGGCAAAAGTTCTTAGACCCAGCACTGACTCCTTCTCCGTAGAACCAGCACTTCCTTGAATAGCAATGTGTCTTTTTCAAGGATGATGGAAGTTGCCATCCTAATATTTCATTGCCATGTTAACTCCCTCAATATTTATTTTCATATATAAGGTTTACATAATTCCCCTCTGAGCCTTTTTTGTAATCACGGCAAATCGGTTGGTCATTTTTCATGGCTTGTCGCCGATTTAATGCACCCAGGAACACCATACTATAGTACCAGATCTTCGAAAACTGTTATATGTAAAGGCTGTAAACTAAGCTGTTCAAATCCTAACATTGCCGGGAAGTCACTCGCTGAAATCTATAGCGCAGCGGGGCCTCCCGCTATTCCTGTAAAACTGTTTTTTTTTTTATTGACAATGTCGCGCAGGCGAGTCACGTACAATTGCGCTTTGCGTAATTTTTGTCGCACTAGCGAGGCGACGGTTCGTGGCCTCTCCTGAGCATATTCCGCTGCTTAGCGACAATCCGGAAATCCAACTTTTTTATTATAATTCTCAGTTCAAGCACCTATTAATCACACTCGTCCGCGGCATCTGCAAGCTTTTTATCTGGGGCTGTCTGTATCCGCCGGATATAATCCCATCCTGCTTTCCAAACTGCAGGAACAACCCGTCATTCACAGCACACGGGAGGCGCGTTGGGTTTCGTGTAAGTTTCATCGCAGAAAAAACGAGATGAAAGAGTAGACATATTTAGTCACGCGTTTGCAGCAGCCGTATACAGACGCAGCCTGCTAGCAGGATGCGGTTTCTGTGGGCGCGCAACTAAATCTGTCTAGTGTTGCCACTCGACGTGAAGTCGAGCGTTGCGGGCGGTGGAGAAAGTGAAGCGAGCGAGAAGTGTGTTGCGAGAGGGTGGAAGTGCCGGCATTTGTTGCGGGTGACGTCAACGCGCAGCTGCGACTTGACCTACTTGGCACCGCTTCAACACCTGCGGCGAGGGGATTGTGCGGACGCACGGGACGCAATACACAGGCTAGTCAAAGAGCCGCTTTGCATCTAAAAATATAAAAGTACATCACACGTAGGGCCATTTGACCATGCGAAATGCTGCGTAACAGCAATAGACAATATCAGTTATGTTACAGCAAAAAGACATCGCTTTTTCAAGCTAGAGCGAACAGTAAAAATCATTCATAAAAGTGGGCGCCTAGGGATTCACTGGGTTCTCAACTACAACTTTATGAATATCACTACACAGTGGTCCACAATGTTAAGCGCCGAACACTGTCGGGGCCGGGCTGTCGATGCCTGTCGTGCAGTGTCAGTAGAGTGTGGAGAAACCATGTATCTGTAGCATGATCATGCGTAGTGAAACGAAACAAGGAGAGTAGAGGGTAAAGCATATATATTAGCTATGCATGGCGCCGCACGGCTCAACGATGTATAGCATGACCTTATATAACCGAGTCATGTATAGTATAGTACTGCGAGGTGGCGGAAAAGAAGTGAGGATGAGGAAAGACAAAAAAGGCAGTGCAACTGCACCAGAAAATGAAATTTCTTCTGCCACCATAGACGCCGAGCAGGCCGCACGGCCGATGAATCAGTGCTCCGCACTTTCTAACTTGTCACGTCGAGTGTAAATGCATAGATTGTTTTCCCCTCTGATTACAGGGCACCTTCTGGGTGAATCATGTCACTAGTCGTGACATGCTCCGATCCGGCATACCTCTATTCAAAGGTGGAGCGGCCATTGTCAACATATCCAGCGTCAAGGCCAAGAACGGCTCGTGGTCGTCGGCGGCGTATTCCGCTTCGAAAGCCGGCATCTTGGCGCGCACCATATCAGTGGCAAGGGAGCTCGCGGGACATGGCATCCGCTGCAACGCCGTGCTTCCTGGCTGGACAGATGCCCCCATGACGCAAGGAGGGGACGACGCTGTGAAAGCGCAGGCGCTGGCACTCAAGTCAATCAAGAGGCCCACTGAGCCCCGTGAAATCGTGGAAAGTACTTTGGTTTAGGCTAGTTGGTTTATAGTGCTCACATAGAAAGGGCAGCGCAAAAACTCGGGAAATTTTATTGCCATCACCTGTGCATATATGTGCCTAAAATGTGATTGAGAGGAGGTTTAGAAGCAAGAAAAGAAGGCTGGTTTTAACCAGCGATAAACACTGCAAACGATAAAATCTTCAAAGGAACTCACGCAAGCGTGATGAGTGAAATGCATCAGGTCAAAATAAAGCAAATGACACCGAAAATGAAATAAAGCCTATAAGATAACTAATTTCAGCGTCAGACAAGGATCTGTACGGCTTGATCACGCACTTGTAACCTGCTTCATGAATGAAGAAAGCCTCAACAATCTCGCGCTCTCTCTTATCCCTCCCATTTAAAAAAACCGAGTACTACGAAAGTCAGTTTGACCAAGTTTGTCCCCGACCAGACGGGATTCCGTCGGACTCTTGGTTAAGAAAAACTGTCACCGGCAGCGTTGACCCAAGGAACATCAAGGACCTGGCATGCAGGATTCTAACCCCAGCATACTGCATGGAAATCAAGCATTCTACCACAGAGCTACTCCACGTCTCGGTACTGCTTTGGAAAAAATACGCTATTCAGGTGCAATGTTGGTGAAACGTCAATTGTGGTTGCAATGCTGACTATCCGATGTTATAAACATTACATGTGTACTCCTACGGTACAGGTCTCGTCGGGTTAACGTCAGTAATAAAGTGCCATCCACTTAAGTTGATTTATCCAGCAGTGCCCAGGGCTACTATCCTCGTGAGCACAAGCGTTACATATCAGCATATTACTTATCGTGTTGCTAATGTTCATGTTACGTAGGCATCGTTGCGCAAGTGTGAACAACTGTTTATATAAAACAATGTGAGACTGACCAACATATGTTTCTGCGTACAACATTCAACATATATTTAGCGTGCATTTCGCAACGCGTCACTCACTTACTGGTGTAAACATGATAATAATGACATGTATGTCATGTAAAACGTGACTATACGTGCTATGCTCATAGAGCGCTCGTAGTCGTTTCGCGAGCTTAACATATACCAAATTTGGTGTTACGTGACGTGAATGGATGACGAAGGTATATTACTGGGGAAAACATTGTAACTATGACATGCGTGTCATGTAAAACATGGCTGCGTGCTACGCTAATAGTGCGCTCGTGGACATTTCGCTCACTTCACGTATACACCGAATTTGGTATTACGTGACGTGAACAGACGACGAACACAAATTCCAGGCGCAAACATGATAATCGTGACATGGAAGTCATGTGCGACGTAGTTTACGTTCGCGTCGTAACGTTGTGTCGTGCTTCGCATATAATTGATTAGCACCGTACGTGGGATCTGTCTTTTTTTATGATTCGTGGCAGTCGTCTTCTTTCACACCCCACCTAGAGTGGCGTGCCGGACGCCGTGATAAAACTGGGGCTGGAGTTCACCCTTTTTATCCTTCATCTTTATGGCGTCGGTGCCGCGCTTTCGAAAGACTAAGTGATTCGCTCGAACACCGCCGGTTTTAACATGACAGTGTTTCATGTCGGGGTCCACCACGGCTCCGCTGACGTACTTCCGTCATGGAAGTGACGTTGAAAAGTACATATTACGAGATTGCAAAGAAAAAAACCAAGCATTCGTCGCATGGAATCGAACCAGCCACCTCTCTATTCTCGCGCGCCGCGCTAACCACCAAGCCACAAAGCGGTTTTTTTTTTTTATTGAGCAAGCCACAAAGCGTACGTTATCTGTAGTGCTAACGGAAAGCCACTTGTATACACCGTACACCGTTCGGCAGTCCTCAGAGCTTCGAAACGTTAGCGCGTTTTCGTTATCAGTCGCGAGATGGCACGATGGGTCCACGTTGGGCGCGCTTCGAGGTCACCGCCTCCTCGAAGCACGGAGCATGTTCTCTCCTTCGCGCGCTCTTATCAGTCTCGTAATTCTGGAGAGGACGAAAGTCACTTCGCATGCTACCGCGGCCGCGTTTGCGAAAGGAGCGCGCTGCTGTCACACGACGCAGGGATGATCAAAACTTTATTGCTCTCAAAAGAGGGGACCGGCCGAGAGGTCGGTTACGCTGCTTAAAGGAGGTCAGCGGGGATTCCTTGGGACACCACGGCCTCCAATGCGCGTGAGATTGCCCGGCGTTGCTGTGCCGAGTCAGGGATATGCAGAAGGGACTCCCATGTATCTTCTGTGTGAGAAGCGTCAGCGTACTGTGGGCACGTCCATGCCATGTGTATGAGGGTGGCCTATTGTGAGCAGTATTTACAGTGTGGTGTCACGAGGTGTGGGTATACCATGCTATAAAGTAACTCCTTTGGTCACTTACCCAGACATCCTACAGCACTACAGACTAGGCAGTCTCCGCTATCCTCCAGATCACAAAAACCTCCTTCGACGTGATGCCGTCCTGTGGCGCAAGCTTCAGACAGATGTCTTTCCCAACGACGCAGGGAAAATTGTGACAGTTGTTCGCGCTTGTCCTGTGTATACTGTTGTGATCGTTTTGCGCGTATTTGTTTAAATAGTGCGCTTTAAGTGTCAAGCTCTAAAAGTTGATAGTCCGTGCTCGTCATGGATATGCTAATTTTGTGTGTGCTTTCTGCTTGAGGTGCGCGCCGCAAGTTTCGAACTGGTTGCAACTTTTAACGTGACTTTGCAATTTGTTGCTGTTGCTGAAACAATGCACAATGAACGTTCAACTACCTCTGTAAAGACGCGTTTCACTTTAATGCTGTGCTGTTATATAAATGGATCAGCCACATTTTTTTATCATTATTGTACACATGCTATCTTTTCACTGCGTGAACCTTCTCAAGCAACATACAAGGCTTTCTCCTTGAAGGAACACAAGTCAATCACACATGTCAATGTATTTGTTTATATGAAGTTTCGTGGTGGATACAACAGTGTAGATTAAACTGCAAGTTTTGGCATTTGGCATGTATGCTTACAGACACATGCACCTAAGACTAATTTTCAATTTGAGCATATGATACCTCGTGCCGCAAAGTATATTAAATGTTAATTAGCATATGTATCTGGCCTCGCGCCTGAATATTGCACGAAGTTGTACGCTGCGCGAAACGTATATCATCACAGCTAGCACACACGATATAAAAAAAAAAACTACTTCAGTTTAAAACTAAAATTGTAAACTGTTGGCACTATTATACACAACTGCCTGTTATACGCTCGAATATTTTCTTTACATCACAAAGAACACATCACTGAAAAATAAATATCGAGATACATTGTTTGCGCTTCTAACTTTATCACTGAAAACTTGACTGCCAGATCACACCACATCATGTCTTGGCCGTGCAACTAAACGCTATCGAGTCCATCGGCATCGGTACAAATACTTAAGATCTAACTCGCGCGCATTTATTCCTACCTTAAGTGCATCGTTACCACTTGCAGTCACTGATGATCGAAACATTAACATTTATTCATCGAATCCCGACGAGAAAGGCGTCCTTAGACCGGCTCTAAGGTTGTGGCGGTGGCTCGGCCTCGGGTGCTGGGGCTGCCGGCAACGCGTGGAAGTGGAACTCGGCAAAGCCCACCTCTACAAGGCGTTCGCGATAGAGGATTCGGTATTTGGCCTCAGCCGGGCCCCAGTCACTCTCGGGATGAGCCGCTCGGCGCCAGCTGAATCCGCACTGGGCCAGCTTGACCACGGCAATGATGATGAGCGGCGCCAGTCCAACCAGCGCCAGAGTCCAGCCAAACAGGTCGGCCCACATCGGGAGGACGTAATCACCCACGCTGCTCCGCGGGAACTCGTACAGGCTGTAGAACAGGAAGCAGCCCAAGACCACCGGCGCGCAGTACTTGAATGCAACGAGCACGAAATAGCTGGGACAGCTACCCGTCATGAAGGTTACGTCGAAGAAGAAGCGGTTGATGCCGTATACCCACGCCACGATGATGGCTTCGCCCAGGCACGTGAACAAGACTATCAGGGCGCCCAAGTAGTTATCCAGGATCGTTAGGACGTACAGGCCCCCCTATGTGTTCGAGGAAAGCCAGCAGAGATTAGGTTACGGACGATACTTTTCCGAGTACTCGCTAAAGCTTTCACTGATGACACCACTATCAAAAAAAAAATCTTGAAGGACACTCGAGCTTCGCTTTTAATAGTAGAACGCCACATCGCGATCTCACCCGGCCGTTCGTATCGCCTTCTTAATTCCTATACGCTTCTCGACGGGCACTTCACCCATGCCACAAGGAAAGGAGCATAGGTACACGCAACATTCACTGTTTCAGTCTGAACAGAATGCCTAATTTGGTTAAAGTTGCGAAGTGCCCACGCTACAATTCTTCATTTAGCTAACCGGACGCACATGCGCTTCTACACCTTTGGTGATGCTGATTCTCATGATGAGTTATGCCCGAGCGCTTTTTTTCCTTTAAACCAACCACTCATTGTCCAATGCACATGTATGCTTTGACGACATGTGCAATTATACATTCATTCCTTACGCGCTTTAGGAGTAATCCCCGAAATATTTCAGGTGCTGGCATGTCTCCGAGGTAGAACACATGTTTGCCTGGGTTTCATTCTGACTTGAACATTGTGGGCATGCTAACACTTCCTGTAATGTCGTTCGCGCCTTGGGGCTCACGTGTTGCACTCATATAGGCTGCATTTAGGGTTCACAACTGTTTAGCGGTAGGTGGCGTTGTGCTCGTGAGCGTTTACCACCACCATCACTATCATCATGATTAGCACGGTAGCGCCAGCAGGGATGCCTGGCGGCAAGCCTGGGTGGTGGCGCGCATGAGAGTCTTGAGAGATTAGTGGGTTTCTTAGGCAGAGTGTACTAGAATTCTAGTACACTGCATCTTAAACGTGTGGCGGTCAGAGTGAGCGATCTTCTCTTGCGGCAAGTCCGCGGTGCACGGCACTGCGGGTCGCCTTGCCGTGGGCCTCGTGGCGATCGTCGGTCGTTGGTGACGCCTCCTTTTGTTTGTTATGTTGTTGAGCTTTTTAATATTGTGTAAGGCTGTTTTAGCATGTTGATCACAAGTGATGTATTGATTCGGCTAGTGATATTGTCGAACTAGAAGCAAGTTAAATGTGTTGTTTGCTTTCTTCCGGAGCAGGCGCTCTCTCATTTCTAGACCCCACAACCTAAGATTTGTTATTTATTTTGAATCTATCTCAAGTTTTCGCTAAGGAACAACGCCGAATTTTCTCCAAGTTCGACACCGAAATTTCTGCGAAACAGGCTTTTTGACGCATTACGCTAAAATTGACAGTGTGAATTAGCTCGAAACAGTTTACGCTGCATAATTTCCTACAAATACCTCTATATAACTTGCCTACCTGCGTAGTGAGGGCCAGTCCGATGAGGAAGCAGAATGAGCAGTACATGAAGGCGGTCATGGCACGCTGTCTCTCGAACGAGGGAAACAGTTCCTGGATGGAATTGGTGAGGAATTCGCAGTTGCCCATCTGCGAGTCGATGCCCAGAAAGAAGAGCATGGCGAAAAACAGCACCGCCCATAGGTTGGGAAATGGAATCAGGGACAGGGCCTCGGGGTAGGTAACGAAGGCGAGACCCGGCCCGGCGGCCACTACCTCCGCGATCGGGATGTCCAACGTGTGCGCCAAGTTTCCCAGAACCGAAAACACCACCAGGGAGGCGAATGCGCTGGTCACGAAATCGACGAGGCAGATTAAGATGACGCTGGAAGACATGTTGCTGCGGAACGGCTGGTATCCGCCGTACACCAAAAGACCGCCAGTGCCGATGCTGAGCGAGTAGAAGGTCTGTTCAGTGGCCGCGCGCCACACTTCCGGGCTCAGCAGCGTGTTCCACTGCGGCACGAGTAGGTACCGCAAGCCGATGCTGGCTCCGGGTAGCGTGATGCCGCGAATGAGCATGACGGTCAGAATGAGGTATGGTGCCGTGGCGGTCACGAGAACCACCTTACCAACAACCTGCGAGAATGGACAAGAGAGACTTCATCCTGGAAACGCGCACCTCACTTATGTAGCCAGCTTGTTCGGTAAAGAGTGGCGTAGCAGATGACCAGATTGGGTTGTACGACGCCAACCTTCTCGAAGGAAGAGGATATGTTGAGCACCACTCGGTTGTAGAACATGTCGACCGACGAGGCGTTGGCATCCACGCACCCAGCGAAGCGGCTGTTGTACTCGTTCTGCGACACAAGCACGCTGCTGCCGTTGTAGCTGACAACTACGGGCGACTCGGCTGTGGTGTCGTTGATGCCGGCGATGACGAGGCTCTTGCGTATGTTGCTGCACACGTGCCTCAATTTGAGACGTGTGACGCATCCGTCCAGGGGCACGCCCCACCACTCAAAGCAGTCGGTCCAGGGCAGCGGACTCTTGAACGAGTGGAAGAAGTAGACCACCGCGTACGTGATTATCATCTGGTAGTAGATGGTCGTGACGAAGGCGCCCCACATCATGCAGAATGCGTTGCCCTGTGAAGTTAGAGAAAAATCAATAAAGTCATGTACATTCATGCAAAGGAGTGAAAGAATGAAGATCCCAAGTAGTAAACGAATCATGTGAAGCGTGGCAGATCTCGGACTACAATAAATCGTTCAATCTTTCCGGACGCGTTTTTGCGTGAGGCATCATGTTTGTGCCCATTGAATAATTTGTGCAATGAAAGCAATAGGAGAATGATGACTGGTGGCTCACGCGCATCCGCCAACTAGTCATACGCAACTGCTAGCTTGCAGTTGCACTATACTTACACATGCGTGTATCGTCTAGGTATGGCGCAAACAAGGAGCCAAGGTGGCCCGGTCGACACTCATGACTAGTCCACTCATATGCGCCCATGTTCAACCGAGAACACTTCCAATAGTTATTGGTGTTTAACGTGCCAGAATCAAAATAGTGTCCCGTTGCCGTGAAGTCGACGGAGGCAACGGTCGGCGTGTCAAAGAAGAAACTCTTTATTCGGCCGAACTTGTGGCCGGGAAACTGAAGGCCCGACTACACCAATACACACTGGCACTGATAGCGGCAAACAGAGCGTCGGCGATCACTAAACTAACAAGCGGTGGTGCACGTCAGCATTTATATCTTTACTTTTATATATATTTCTTTATTTATTTCAAGCATACTGCCAATCTCAACGGGGATTTTCCCAGGAAGGGCATATACAGAACGAAAATATACAAGAGTGTTCAATTCGCACCTAACAATTTGGTGAATTAACAAGAAAGTTGCACGTAAAGTTTAACAAACACACCTGGAAAGTTAAAAAAAGCATTCATACAAAGGTTACTAAGCACGTGGCATAAAAAAAATGATAGTGTTAAAGGGAGGGTATACATAAGTAATGTGTGAATCAATCGTTGACGAAATTGATATTACATACAGCAAAAATTATAAGGTTAGTACTATACAAAGAGTTTAATTGATTGATTGATTGATTTGTGGGGTTTAACGTCCCTAAACCACGATATGATTATGAGAGACGCCGTAGTGGAGGGCTCCAGAAATTTCGACCACCTGGGGTTCTTTAACGTGCACTCAAATATGAGCACGCGGGCGTACAACATTTCCGCCTCCATCGGACATGCAGCCGCCGCAGTCGGGATTCAATCCCGCGACCTGCGGGTCAGCAGCCGAGTGTCTTAGCCACTAGACCACTGTGGTGGGGCTATACAGAGAGTTTATGTTTGAGAAAAACATAGGCGGTTTTCAAGAAGTGACAGGAAGTTATCTTCGTTATTACAGGTAGTTGTGTATGTAGGCAGACTATTCCTTAACCTCATGGCTTGTGGACAAAACGAGAATTTCAAACTGTCAGTTTTGAACCTGCAGGTATTCTTCAGGAAATTAGGGTTCTCATGACGAAAGGGCCTAGTTTCTGGGTGATATAGTTATTGGTCCATATCAATACGAAGCTTATTGTGAAAAATCTGAAACGTCATTTCCTGGCGAAAGATTTCGGCACGGTGACATGGTAATACGAGAGCCGTCGAATATTCCAGCGTTATCGCCATAGCAGCCAAGGTATAGTTCAAGAATCTGTAATGTTCACGTTGTGCGCGTAATCGCATCGGAAGATTTTAAAATCATCTCGATGTTTCTTTGACCTTCGGCACGGTTTCCGCAAGACCGCACTTACACGTGTAATGGGGTGATAACAACTGGGGAAAGGAGTGTGGCAATATAATTAAGTGGGACCTGCATCTAAACACATATAGTTCTCTAGCATTCTCGCCTCCATCGAGTGAATGCTGCCGCTGTGGCCGAGATTCGATACCTTGAACAGCTCTACCTCTGTAGCCATAGAGAATTTCATGGGCCAGAAATGCGCCGAGTACAGCGAGAAGTTTCTCTACCGTGCGTGTGCCATGCGTAGCCGACCCACGCTTGGCGAGGTACTAACCTGGAACATGGGCGACAAGCGGAAAGCACCAAGGGGTCCTTGGCCGCAAAACTGTCCCAGGAGGAGCTCTACGTAGTATATGGGCCGGCCGATGACAAGGTTGATGACGATGTAGGGGATCAGGAAGGCGGAGCCCCCGTTCTTGTATGTCACGTACGGGAACCGCCACAGGTTGCCCAGCCCCACGGAGTAACCGATGCAGGAGCAGATAAACTCCAGCTGGGTCGACCACTTCTCCTTCTGGGCGCTCATGCCGACCTCTACGAGTGGTTAAGATGGAGTAGGCAAGGAATAGTACAGAAAAAAAGAGGAGCGCGCAAAGGGGACCAACGAGGCAACGTCCAATCGTTCAAGCGGCTTCTTGGATCATCACGCGCTTAAAGCTCGAGAGCTTGCGGCATGCGCTGATCAAAATGATGATAGTGGTTTGTTGAGTTTAATGGAACATAAGCAACTGAGGCTATCATGCATAAAACAGAGGTTGTAAGATGATGATTATTATGATACCCACATAAATAATTGGCCTGTTAGAATATAGTTCAAGATTTGGGTTGCTTAATCCTTAGTTTATAACTTGAATAATCACGTAATGATAGCGGGAAAAGGCAAGCGTAAATTAGCTGAATTGCGAGTGTTGCACAGTCGGGCAGTTAGGTCAAACACCCGAATGATTGACGTTTACAGGACGATTTGGTGCATGCACTGATTGCCGAATTCAACACGAAGAAAATTTGCAGCGCTAAATGGGAGAATTAATATCACCTAAAGCTTTCATCAACAATTCCGATGCGGCCTAATGCGAAATCTCAGAGCAGCTTTGCTTTGGGGCAGGGTAACTGTGTTTGAAGTTTTGGCTTTTTGCAAGGTATCGACTAAACCATAAATGTCACGGAGTACGCCAGCACCCACTACGCCATTATTCGTTTTCTGCGGGTAAGCGAGGTACCCGCTACACATATGTGAGGTATTATGTGCACTTTGCTGATGCTGAATCAGGCTGATGGCGACAAAGAGTTATGACTGCGCAGACTGCACTAGGCGGGAAGCATTAGAGCCCCCATTCGTAACACAATTGGCATTGTGTCAAGATTTGAACTTATTTTACTCTTCTGCCACGCAATATTACATAGGTTGCCACGATTCATTGCACGACATGACGTCCTTATAAGGTCTTTTTGCTGGTGAGTTATAAGCACCATCATGGCTCTGCTGTATAGGATACGAGCGTGCCACGCAGGTGGCCCTGGTTCAAATCCCATTCGATTCTGGGTATTTTTTTCTTATTTTCTTTCTCATGTACATCGCTAAACCACCAATGGCGACGGCAGTGGCGATGCCGTTCAACCCAAGAAGGGGCACAGAAGAGCTGCGCGGGGATTCAACAGAGCACTGGAGAAGAACACGGCGCTAGAACAATAGGAGGCGATGATATAGATAGATATGAGGGGTGCAACGTTCCGAAACGACCGTATGGTTGTGAGAGACGCCATAGTAGAGGGCTCCGGAAATTTAGACCACCTGGAGTTCTTTAACGGGCACCCAAATCTGAGCACACAGGCCTACAGTATTTTCGCCTCCATCGAAAATGCAGCCACCGCAGCCGGGATTCAATCCCGCGACCTGCGGGTCAGCAGCCGAGTACCTCGGCCACTAGACCACCATGGCGGGGCGAGGCAGTGAGATATTATTCATAGAAGATATTTGAACAGGCCTGCTCGTGGGGGAAAAAACGGATTTACTGTTTAATATCACATATCTAGCGATAAAGGAATAAGACAGCACATCACAGTATGAGTGTTGGTCTGTAGCCGTTACGACTACACTGTTTGCATTCAGTCGCAACACAGATGTTCAGCTGCCCACGAATTTTCAGTTATGTGGTGTGAAATGCAGCATCAGGCATCGACGCTGCCTTGTAGGTTGATAAGACAGATGCTTGGGCTGGTTGGTGATTGGGAATCAACATATTTGCGCAGCGCAAGACTACGAGTAGTTACGCCATAACTACTCCTATAGTCTTTCTCTGTGCAAGTATGAAGCATATGCGCTGCATGCGGAGCGGTGAACCCACGTTGTGAACAAAGCCCATCGTGCTGAGACAGGAAAGCAATGCGAGCAAAAACCGAAACAGAACTACTCAGTGAGGCTGACAACACCGGGGGAGTGAGACAGCGGTGCATGTGCTATAAGTATTTCTCGAACAGTGACAATGTCTTTGAGCGGACGCCTTGCGCTCGTCACAGGTGGTGCGAGTGCCATCGGTGAACCTGTTAGCCACTTCCTGGATGCCGAAGGTGCGATTCTCTCGATGGCCTACAGACGGCTCGAGGCTTCATGCCAAGTGGACGAGTGTCTCACAGGTTTGTGATTCAGTCATTGCAGGCGTGATGCTCTTTTCAACCACATATCAATCAATCAATCAATCAATCAATCAATCAATCTTCTTTTTCGCACAGTCAGTTTTGTAACACACACACAGGCCCGCGCGCGCAGGCTGGCAGACAGGCACGCAGAAATTTATCGAACGCTTCTTCTTTAAGTGTGAGGATTCGAGCGCCCTTACGATGACGTTCATTGCATACTTGCATCTCGTGCACATGCAATAACGAAGTGAAACAATACTACGATATTAAGTATTCAGGAACAAATAATGTTTGAGAATGAATGACGTTATGCCGGGAGGAAACGACATAACATTCAAGGTGCTGTATGGTGGCTTATAACGCAATGATCTGCTAAGTGAGATGCAGCTTTTACATTGCCTTTAGTCCATGTAAAGCCACGGAAAGGTCCACAGCAACTGCCAGTCATTAAGTAAACGCGATTCCGGTAGAGTTTGTCAAGAAAATCATCTAATAAAAAATAAGAACGTGTTTTTTCGTGTCACTGGGTCAATTATTCATGATTCATAAAAATTTCCCGAAAAGAACATGGTGGGCAAAGTTTTAAGAAGAAAATCTCAAGTAAAAGAAGCATGCCATCGAACTTACTTGGGCGAAAACTCGCTCGGTACTTTGTAGCTTATAGCTAAAGCTGTACTTTATAGCTTGTGAGAAGTTTCTATCAAGCAAGACATCGATTTTTCGATATTTGATGATGCGTAGCATCACTTACTACAAATGGTTACGGCAATAACCTGCACGTAAACGCAAGCACAGTTGATAATGGCCGATGCAAAATGCACTGTATGTAACTTTTGGGGGATACCTGCGGCATTATTACTGGTATTTACAATAACCGGGAAGAACAGTGGCGCGTTAGGACATCCCAGTTAAACTTCAATGCACAGTGATTAGTGAATTTCCCAGTTTTCTGAAGGCCACTTGTAAAACAAAAGTCTTCATGGTATTAAAGGTGTCTTCTAACACTTCTCACTATTTTATTGTTTCACAAGCTTTCCTAGCTGGTTGCGTACACTGAAGGCTTAAGAGATAAGTGCCGAAAGAGCGGAAGCTTTAGAGACACCAGTTCTGATTCATTGAGCGTAGAAAAATCAAAGCACAATAAAATCGACACCTACCCTCAACTGATCTTTCGTGGGCTTACCCAGCACAGTGGTGAACTAGAATATACTAGTTCACTATACCCAAGATTCTCTAGAAAAGTTTTGCTGACCTGACCCTGTTTACCTCGCCCAATGAAATAAACTGATTGCCCTACTGTACAGAAAGTTGCATGCCATATTGCTCATTATGTCCAACGTATTGAGGACACCTTCACGATGGTAACAAATAATGTGTTACCTGAAGAGTGAACAGCACGTGCGCAACGAGGCAGCTCGCGAACGCTTATGTAATGTTTCGTAGCTTTACTCATCTTTCTTTTTGCGATGGCATCGATATATCAACGCTCTTTACATTTTTTTTCTTTTTATTTTCTTAAACAACCGTGTCTGGAGCAACCCGGCGTGTTTCCTCCAGCGTTCGGCGCGTTCTTTTACCGTCTTTGTATAGTTTTCAAACTGAAAAATTTAGACAGCTTTATTCTCTTCCGCGTTCGGCGAAAAACCATGCTAAAGAAAAAAAAAGAAATCTAATAGTAATCCTTGTGAAACGGGGTTTCACAAAATTTCAGAAAGAGGGCTGAACTCTGAGACGTCGGGACGATACGGCAAAATGGTGTCAAGGGTGGAGCATGGGTTCACGCCCATATAGAAGAAAGAAAGGCGAGAAGCCTGTGGTTGACTGCGTCGCGGTGTTGTACGCATAGGTCACAAATGGGAGAATGACATCCCAGTTTGATTGGTCGGAATCGACATACATGGCGAGCATGTCTCCTAGCGTTTGGTTGAAGCGCTCAGTTAGACCGTTGGTCTGCGGGTGGTAGACTGTAGAGGTGCGGTGCACCGTGCGGCATGCCTGAAGGAGTTGTTGTACAACTTCGGATAAAAAGACACGCCCTCGATCATTTAGTAGTTCCCGTGGTGCCCCGTGACGCAGTACTAAACGTCGCAAAACGAAATTGGCTACGTCACGTGCACCTGCCGTAGGTAGTGGAGCTGTTTCAGCATACCTCGTCAGATGGTTGACGGCGACAATGATCCATCGATTTCCAGTGGCAGTGTAAGGAAAGGGACCATATAGATTGATACCAATGCGGTCGAAAGGGCGTGCCGGACACGGTAGAGGCTGTAATAATCCAGGTGAATGGGCAGGTGTCTTTCGTCGTTGGCATAGTGAACAAGACCAAATGTATTTTCGTACAAAAGTGTACATACCACGCCAGTGGTAACGCTGGCGGATCCGCTGATATGTTTTTAACACACCAGCGTGAGCATGTTATGGGTCGGCATGGAAATACGCACAGACATCAGATCGCATGTGGTGTGGTATAACCAAGAGCCATTTACGACCATCCGCGTGGTAGTTTCTGCGGTATAGTTGCGCGTCCCGTATCGCGAAATGTGTGGCTTGGCGGCGAAGAGCGCGTGGGTATGCAGACGTTGAAGAGTCGGAAAGAATGTTAAGGAGAGATGTTATCCATGGGTCTTTCCGCTGTTCAGACGACATGCTTGTGATGGAAATGGGAGCGATGGAGAAGTTGGTGTCCGAATGCAGGTCTGCAGTGGATCTCACTGGTGATCGTGAGAGGGCGTCCGCATCAGAGTGTTTTCGTCCTGAGCGGTAGATGACACGAATGTCGAATTCTTGTAGGCGAAGAGCCCAACGTCCAAGGCGACCTGAAGGATCTTTTAGCGACGCCAACCAACAAAGTGCGTGGTGATCGGTCACAACGTCAAAACTCTGTCCGTACAAGTAAGGACGAAACTTGCTTAACGCCCAAACGATTGCGAGGCATTCTTTTTCGCTTACGAAGTAGTTCATCTCCGCTTTTGTAAGTGCGCGGCTTGCGTATGCGACGACGTACTCTGGAATACCGGGCTTTCGTTGCGCGAGTACTGCTCCCAGACCAACGCAACTGGCATCTGTGTGCACTTCAGTGGGGGCACTTGGGTCGTAGTGGCGTAGAATCGGTGGGGACGTAAGTAGACGGCGCAGTGTAAGGAAAGCTTTGTCACATGCCGGGGTCCAGTTAGAAAGATTAGCTGGACCGTTCAGTAGTTGTGTAAGTGGGGCTATTATTGTTGCAAAGTTGTGGACGAAACGACGAAAATACGAGCACAAGCCGATGAAGCTCCTAAGTTCTTTGGGTCAAGTCGGCTTCGGAAAGTCGGCTACGGCTCGAAGTTTGTCTGGGTCGGGGCAAATTCCATCCTTTGACACAACGTGACAAAGTATAGTAAGTTGGCGAGCCCCAAAGCGGCACTTCTTTAGGTTAAGCTGGAGGTTTGCCTTGGTAAGACACTGAAGGATGGTGCGCAGACGGTCGACGTGGGTAGGGAAATCAGGCGAAAATACGATAACATCATCGAGGTAACATAAACATATCTGCCATTTAAGGCCGCGTAAAATGCTGTCCATCATTCGCTCAAACGTTGCAGGTGCATTGCACAGACCAAATGGCATAACCATAAATTCGTATAGGCCATCCGGCGTAACGAACGCTGTTTTGGGACGGTCACACTCTGCCATCGGAACCTACCAGTAACCTGAACGTAAGTCCAGCGAAGAAAAGAATTCGGCACCTTTTAGGCAATCGATAGCGTCGTCGATGCGGGGAAGAGGGTATACATCTTTCCGTGTAATTTTGTTCTGTCGCCGGTAGTCGACACAAAATCTAATCGAACCGTCTTTTTTCTTCACTAGCACAGCAGGTGAAGACCAGGGGCTAGAAGATGGTTTGATGACACCGTGCTGAAGCATATCATCCACCTGCTCTGCAATTACACTTCATTCCTTGGGTGATACGCGGTAGGGGCGTTGCCGCAAAGGAGGGTGCGTTTTGGTGTAGATTGTGTGAGCGACGGTGTTAGTTTGACTCAGTGCCTTTTGAGGAAGGTCAAATGAATCTCGGAATTCATGCAGAAGGACTATTAGCTGGTCCCGTTGATCCGAAGGAAGCTTGCTGTCGATGGAACTATTGAAGATATCCGAGGAGTAGTCATCCCGCGTAAAAAGAGGAGTAACGGCGTTCAGTTGAAGTTGCTGGCCAGGGTCGTGGGACTCAATAGGCACAATAACGTTGTCATCAACAGGATGAACATAGCCCAGTGTTTCGTGAGCTCTTAAGGTGAGAGGGCATGAGCTAGAACCGCAGACGATAATTCCGGAAGTATCTTGGTGAGGTGGCAGAACGGCGTATGGCAGAGACGTACCGTGGCGGCGACTGAAAACGTCAGATGGGGAGAACACAACGGTAGAGCCGGACAATTCAGTGCGATTGACGGGGGAAACGATGGCACTAAGAGGAGGAACATCGACGTCAGAAGCAACAAGAAGCTTGCCCAGGTGAGTGCGCTCATTGTCGGTAGATGGTGCATCTAAAAACACAAATAATTCCACCTGCGCGCGAGCGCAGTCAATTACGGCGTGATGCCGTGACAAAAAATCCCATCCTAGTATCACGTCATGGGCACAAGTGGTCAACACGAGAAACTCGATGTGGTACAGGACGTCCTGAATGATTACTCTCGCTGTACATGCTCCGACTGGTCGAATAGGTTGCGTGCTCGCGGTATTCAGCAATACGTCGGAAGGCGGCGTCGTTATTTTTCGTATCGAACGGCAGAGTTTTTGACTCATCACAGATACGGCGGCACCCGTGTCAACAAGCGCAAGAGTTCATAGACCTTCAACAAACAGTTCCAGAACGTTTGTGGGGGACGGGCGAGGACTTCTACAATGCGACGATTTCGCAGCTCGTGCCTCCGGAGCTACGGCAGTCAGTTTTCCGTCTCGGCGGGGTTCGGTCGGCGACGCAGCGGGGACGGAGAACGGTAGCGGCGTGGTGAGGATGAGCGACGGGGACCGAATGGTTGGTAGTCGGCAGCAGGGTGGTGGTCTATTTCGGATGGGGACGGGTCGCGTTGCACTGATTGTCGGTCGTATTGACGGGGATGGGTCCCGTTTGTGGGGGACGGTCGGGGACAGGTCCCGTTGCTTGCGCAGTTCCTCGAAGCTCTGGCAAAGAGTGGCGAGTTCAGACACGGTACGGGGGCCCTTGGCCAGCAGCATCTGGAAGGCGTCGTCGTCTATCCCCTTCAAGATATGTTTGATCTTGCCTGCCTCGATCATTGAAGGGTCAAGGCGCTTGCACAAGTCGAGCACATCCTCGATGTAGCTTGTGACGCCTTCCCCCTGAAGCTGTGCGCATCCCCGTAGGCGCTGTTCGGCACGGAGCTTGCGTACCTCGGGGCGACCGAACACATCGGTAATGCGCAGCTTAAAGGCACCCCAAGTGGCGAATTCCGAGTGGTGGTTGTTAAACCAGAGACTCACCACCTCTTTCAGGTAGAAGGGTACATATTGAAGCTTCGAAGGGTCGTCCCACTTGTTGCTTGCGCCTACCTTTTCAAATGTCGACAGCCAATCTTCTACGTCTTGCTCATCGGTACCGTCGAAAAAAGGTGGATCACGCACGCGTAGCGAAGTAGGCACGATGACCATCGGAGGCTGGGTCGTACCTTGCTGGGTGGTTTCTTCAGCCATTTCTGGGATGGCAGGTAGTTTCCTGTTGCGGAGTTCCAGGTTGAAGTACCCAGCACCTCCACCACTCTGAAACGGGGTTTATTGGCACAAGTAGCACTTGCACAGTAGGTCTATTGATGCGGAAAGCGGGCGGCAGCAATGGACTCAGGAATCACAGGAATCGGAGCAAACGCTCGCGCTTGGCTCCTCTTGCTAAAGGCGTGACCCACTGCGGCACATATTCTTCTTCCTCTCTACACTTGTAATGATGGAATGTATCGATTATATCTAACGTTACATTCATCCAATCAGAGGCCTGCACCTTCCGTCGTCATATCCGCTCGCAGTAGTTCCGGCGAGCGCCACTACGAGTTGATTCGGTCAGCACCAATGTTTTGAAGCGTGAGAGGGCCGCTTTGAAGCCCAACCACTTGTCTACACTATGCTAAGCAGGCACGCGTGAGCGGCATGCGTCACACTTCATTCGCTGCTTCGACGCAGGCAAGGCGAAGCACCAAGCCATCCACGTAGATGTCGGTAGAGCATCTCTTCAACTTTATCAAGACTGTATACTCTCGGCCACTTAACATAGTTGTGAACTGTGCTCGGATTCTACACATGACGCTCCACGGTGACACCACTGATGAGGTGTTCGACGGCATCAGGTGTCAGCCTGTGTCGCAAGGCTCCCGAAATAAGGTCATTCATTCTTTGTTGGAATTATATAACAGATTTATGAGCACAAAACACTGGGCTACTTTCATTGCCGATGTAATGAAAAAATATGTCAACGAGGCCCTTTAAAGGCATAAATTGGCGTACTACGGAAATAATTTTGTGCAATATTACGAGGTGTCATCAAGACCAGAGTCTAAGAAATGTTCCTTCACACGCATACAACGTCCGGAGAATGCCTGAGTCAGCAGCAAATGCAGAAACCTCCTTCCGGATATTAACGGTTCCCGAAGAGTATAGTGGATGCACTTCCGGAAGCTTGCCACTCCCAGTGCTTTTCTCGGAGCGACGCATACTCGGGGTGCATGCCCAATTATGAGGCCTGCTCTCATTCGGGGGCAGGAAAATGTAGTTGATTTGTCACTTCGCGTCAGTCTAAAGAAGTCGTCCTTACTTGCAGGCACGTCAATGCGCAAGGCCACCCGGTGTAATGTATACTACCGCTACGAGACACTTTCGTGCTTTCGATTCGGTTAACCTCTCTGCATCCCGCATAGCATATATCTTTCATGGCACTGTCACCCTCATGTCACATAATCGAATCCCGGCTGCGGTGGCCACAACTTTGATGTAGCCGAAAGATGGCTGAGGCTCGTGTACTTAAATTTAGGCGAACGTTAAAGAATCCCATGTGGTCAAAATTACTGGGGTCACGTGTCTTTCAGGTTCATACCATGTTTTTTGGGACGTTAAAACCCATACTTATCACTATCACGTCGTTGTCGGCGTCTGATAGTATTGTAAGCTCGCCTTCATTACATTCATACAGTGTGCGTGCGTGTGCGCGTAATAATATAATAATTGTTGGGGACTAACAACCCAATGAGTGGGCTTACGCTCATGTTTGAATTAGCGCTCGAGGGAGCTCTACATGCGCGTTTATGTATGACATGCGGCATTTATGGTAATGACACTGGTCCGTGAGTCTTTGACAACGTCACAAGTCCGCTAAAAACGTATGGCGGCTTGAGTTTTCGGCCTTCAGCTCCAAGAGCGCCTCTGCCTAATGCATCGTTTACACTATTACGGGTCTAATGCGCGCCGACGTCCAACGTTATATCGGTAATAACTAGCCTACTATAAGTAAGAACGTGTGCGTAACGATAGCGAACTACGTTTGCATATAGGCAGCAGATGTGTTCTTAGGAGCGAAGCCCCTATAGGCTCTTCGGGCTCCGTCCACGCATCTGTACGTCCATGCATCTAGCCGTCTGTCCATCCGTCCAAACATCAATTCATCGGTGCATCTGTCCAATCATCCGTGGATGCGTCCGTCCATGAACGGATGAACGGACAGATGGATTTCATAGAAACTCTTTGTGTCGTTTATCTTTTCGTCGATGAAGCTTTGCTAGATCGCCGGCGTTCACTTCGTGGGTCTGCGGCAATATTTAAACCAAACGTTTTTTTTTCTTCTCTCAATTAAGGAAGACACTTCCCCTCCGCGATTGCATGCGTGCACGCACGTACGGATGACCACATGATACAAAGCGAGGGCGAAAGCGCCACGACGTTTCGTAACCATAAAGTGCGTGACGGCACTATATCTTCGACACACGGTAAACGAAACCAAGACGAGCCGTCACATGAATATATCTATAGTCAGTTACAACTCTAGAATTCTGCGGCATTTTCTTCAGGAAGGTGGATGTATATACATCCCTGCCCCAATCAGTGTGCTTTCTGCACTGACGTTATGAGCCGAGGAGCCGGTGATCTCGCCTTAGGTGAAGATTACCCAGTACACGCACGGTATACTATTTCTTGAGTCACGGCGGAGGCGATCGACTGGGTGCGGTCCATCTGGGTCGGGTCCCTATGGCATTCTTAAAAGGGCCCTGGAACACCTCTCTAAGTAGCCATGAAATGGATTCACCAAAAAGCTTTATTGCCTTATACGAATTTACCATCGCGGAAATTTCTAGAATCCATTCAGTACGAGCGGAGTTACAAAGATTTGTCGCACGCTGCAATTGCATTCTCTCTTCTCTCGTCCCGACGAAAGCGCTCGAAGCTATGCAGGGAGGGATGATATGCGGCAAGCAAATACGTCTCGCACACCTCATGACCTTGAGCTTTCTTTTTATTTTTTGAATGCGCCGCTTTTCAGTGCGATTGCGCGCACACACTTTTCGACAAGTCAAAGCCATCCGCTGTGGCCCCAGTAACGACCGAGAGTGTCATGCTCAAATCAGCAAATGTCTGGAACTTGGCCCGTACAGCAGAGATTTTAAAGCCTGTATCGGCATTCGTCGAGAAAGTAGAAAGCGAATTTTAGCGTACTTTGAGTATGTATTTTGTGAATTCAAGGCCGCGTGTATACATTGCGCTTTAAAGTTTGGCTCGCATGTTTTCGGGATCACCGACTACCGAGCGGCAGAGTTTTCGGACCATGTTCAAAAAGGGCTGCGTCAAGCTGTATTCGGCCACATGAAGGTGCCGTGTTTACCAGTACACTTTTTTCGAAGGAGGTGGTGAAGCTGACTTATATAACCTTCACGCGAAGCGAAAATGGATAACTTATTTTTCTTTATTTCTTTTTTATTGTTTACAAAGGGTATGTTCCTCCTAATAAACCAAGCGGCTGCTAGACAGATGCTACGCCAGGAGAAGGTAATGGTCGTATACGAGGCACCGCCATCGTCAACGTGGCCAGCATCGCGGCCAAAGGTGACTATATCATACTGTAGCGCGTCCACGGATCGACCTTCCGTAGCCGGAGTTGCGGCTCTGGCGAAGTACGTGGCTCAATAACTGGTGAACCACGGCCTCCACTGCAACGCAGTTCTCTCTGTATGGACGAACACGTTCATGACAGCTGTCCTAAATCGAAAGCCCTCGCACACTCCTGTATCTCCAGAGTTCCGCAGAACGTCAGCCCCGCCACGAGAGATTGCCGAGGCTATTAAGATTCTGTGTTCGCCAACTGATCGCTCATTTGTAACTGGTGCAGCGCTTGAAGTCTCTGGGGGATTGGTTATGTGAAATTGTGATAATTCTGCACACACAGTTTCCTTGTGCTCAATTAAAGCTACAAAGACGCATGTTCTTAGTTTTAAAGTGTCCACTGGCAGCGTCAGACACCAAAACGGCACTTGTAAGTTGTGGCAGAACTTGTACGAACTCGTAAATGTTTTTCACACGATTTTTTTAAATAATTCATACTATGGTACTGAATACCAATTTCCCTGTTTACATGGTTGCGTTACTTATAAATCGATTGATTGATTGATTGATTTTTTTTTCATTCAGAGCTGGTACAGTGAGGAAGTGAGAATAAAAAAGAAAGACACAATACTTAAGCATTGCAATTAGCATACCACTCATGTCGGATGGCAGTACCCTCGAAGATAAATTGAGGGAGTACTACAGAACCGACGCTGAGTATTTTCTCTTCGCAAAGCTATAGTTAAGGTTTTAAATGATCATCTGATTCTTGCGCTGCTGTGGCGTGCTCCCCTTTGCTCTCCTCTCCAAGGACGGCTGCGGAGGCAGCAGCTGTGACAGCGTATTCCATATTCATCTGCGGTAGTGAATCATGTACATTATCAGCAGTGCAGCTGGTTACATATGCATAACGGGGCAGACTTCCTGCGGCACGCATTTGTAGTAAAAGGTAATGTCTTTCAGAGGACGTCTCGCGCTCGTCACCGGTGGAGCGAGTGGCATCGGTGCTGCTGTTTGTCGCGCTCTGGCTGAAGAAGGTGTGACTGTAGTGGTGGCGGACAGGCAGCTCGAGGCGGCGCACCAGGTGGTCGTGTCCTTGTCAGGTTAGTATATTAGTAATCGGGGACCGTATTTACAAAACCGTCATACGTAAAAATATGTTTGTAAGAGAATATTTAGACCATGATTCGGATACTGCACATATCATTGCAAAGCCTGTTGGCCAGTGGGAATATCACTTATGAAAGGAGAGTTCAGCAAATTGGTTCGCAGTGCTGCCGTATGTAAATACTACAAAAAACTGAAGCCAATTCGACATTTTCTAGAAATACCGTACAATTTCTCTAGATTGCCCTGTGAGGACCTTTTAGTCAGAAGCTCTAAAACGTCGAAGGGTTAGAAAGTATTCAAGCACCTGGGGCCAGACACGCAAGTGTTAGAAATAGTAATAAGACCATTTTTGGATTACAGTACCAGTTATTTTTGAAGCGCACCGGTACATCAATATTGCACAAAACAGGCAAGCGCCAAAAGCATCTAGATTTGTTGGCTACCTTGGCGCAGGCGACGCCAAACACCAAGCCATCCACGTCGATGTCGGTGACACGTCGTCAGTGGAACAGCTCTTCAACTGCATCAGGAATTCATACTCGCAGCCGCTGAGCATAGTTGTGAACTGTGCCGGCGTTCACCGCATGGCACTTCTCGAAGACACTACTGAAGAGATGTTCGACAGCGTCATGAGGGTCAACCTGAAGGTGAGCCTAGGTTGCTGTGGGACGCCAGAACTGTACGTATAAACCCTTGACTTTAGAAGAACACTTGACTTTAGAAGAACATTAAAGCAGAACCACAGCACAATGGCCTGTGTCATGTTGTTGTCAGACCAAGGTTACGGTAAAAAAGTTAGTTAAAAAGAGAGGGCTTATGCGTTTCTGTTTCTTTGCCAAGTTACGCACACAGACAGACCGACAGACAGACATACAGACAGACAGGCAGGCAGACACACAGAAAGAATAGCGGGTCATATTCGTCAAACCATCCTGCCCTTTCGTACTAATTTTGGTTCACCACAGAAAGGGTGATCACGAGATCACCCAGACGTAGGTGGATAGATAGATAGATAGATAGATAGATAGATAGATAGATAGATAGATAGATAGATAGATAGATAGATAGATAGATAGATAGATAGATAGATAGATAGATAGATAGATAGATAGATAGATAGATAGATAGATAGATAGATAGATAGATAGATAGATAGATAGATAGATAGATAGATAGATAGATAGATAGATAGATAGATAGATAGATAGATAGATAGATAGATAGATAGATAGATAGATAGATAGATAGATAGATAGATAGATAGATAGATAGATAGATAGATAGATAGATAGATAGATAGATCATGAGAAATTTTGCAGCTTAAAGAACACGTTGCGTGTGTCTGTTATACTTTCGCAGGGTACATTCCTAATCAACCGAGCCGCCGCTCGAGAACTGATACGCTTGGGGAAGCCACTTCCCGAGGGAGGCGGCGCCATTGTGAATGTGGCCAGTATCTCGGCCAAAAGCGGTGGGTCCAGGTGCAGCGCGTACGCCGCTTCCAAAGCAAGTGTCGTCGCTCTGACGAAGTCCGCGGCTCAAGAACTGGCGAACCACGGCATTCGCTGCAACGCAGTTCTCCCTGGATGGACGAACACGCCCATGACGAATCGCCTAACTGAAAGCCACGGAAGCTTTCTTGTGTCTCGGACACCTCTCGAGCGCGCAGCCCAGCCACGGGAGATAGTTGAGGCGATCAAGTTTTTGTGCTCGCCAGCTGCTAGCTCGTTTGTGACAGGCGCAGTGCTTGAAGTCACCGGAGGATTTGATATGTGAATACACCATGATTCCCCACATGTGGTTTGCGTGCAGCATTGAATATAGAAATAAGCATTTCGTACGTGTTGGTTTCGGAACACCCGTAGGCGTTGCTGTTATTACGCATTCCATCAGACGGAAGAAAGAAGGAGACAAGATATACATACAACCCATGCTCATAGTTTACATTCATTCAAGTTCTTTATTGGTTTAAGTTCTTATAAGCACATGAAAACACACAACACTCTCCGAACACTACGTAATTGGTACGTAAACTATCTAAAAGCTGCAATTAACATATCAACGTATAGACGCATGCACGGATGGGTGGACGCACGGATGGAAGCAAGAACAAACGGATGGCTGGACGTACGGAAAGACACACGGATGGACGGACGCTTAGCGCAACTCATCATTCACTCCATGGATATGCTCTGGTTTTTTTAATGCGAATTCGTTTCTTAGTGGGGCTATATCAGGCATCCGGCGGTGGCCGCGCGCAGGCAGGTGTTATCTCTCCGCTCTCACTCCCTCTCTTATTGCAACAGCTGCGAGTGCGTGCGCTTATCCTAGCCCCTAGCAACCGGAGCATGGGGTGCGAGAAAGTATAGGAAAGGGGAGGGGCAGTTAGGTGCAGTGCTTCGCCGCTCCTTCTCTCGCCATTCGCTCTCCCTCTTCCTTGCGCCCCACTCTCCCGTCCACTCGCACCTCACTCTCGACCGTTCGCTGGCTGGGCGCTTCTTAAGAACATCCGGAAATATGTGCTTGAGACTACCAGTGTATTCTAGGGACCATACTCGAGACGCCACTGTGAAACCCCCACGCAGAGCCGAGAATGCTGGCGCCCCACTCTTCCTTCCATAGAGTTTCCTAAAATTAACTAGAGGGGACTCTGGCGCTGTGATCATTCAGCGACCGTGTGTGTGTTCTAATACTCACCGTAGATGGCTAAGTAGACAGCTAAATGGACGGCGGCCATCTTAAGTCCCATTCCAATTCTCACGTAGCCGCAACATAGACAGCTCCGAGAATACCGCATCGTAGACAAATACGATGCAGGCTACTTTGCTGTCTAAACAAGATGGCAGCTCACCGAATCGCTCAGATAGTACAGTGCTCTAGATAGGGGTAGTGGGACGAGCAAAGAGCGGAAGCAAGCAGCGACGGCGAGGCGAAACACACAGAAATTTTTGTGCACGGCGTGGTGGCGCCACTGCGCCTTTCTTCTGAAGCCTCTTCCTTCGCAGCAACGTTGAACGTGCGTTTTGCCAACAGGCGCTGGCGATTGTAGTAGCTTGTGTGTTGTATTTTTGCTGGTGTGAATAAACTGACGCTGAGTTAGATAAAAAACACCTTGGCAGAAGTATTCCTTCGCGCCAAATTGTACAACTGGGTATAACAGAATGAAACTGCTGCCGTCTGACTACACTGAATGACTGCGGTGGTCATACCTTTCACGAAATTTGTAGTATAGGGCTGGACAGTACAGGTGCTTCTATATGCAGAATATATGATGAAAAGGTGCGAGATGGTGGTACTTGGAGTGTTGACTAGATGGACGAATGGACACAGACAAATGCTTGGACAGCCACACGGATGGCTGCACGGACGGATGGACGCATGGACGGACTCAGGGGTAGATGCATGGATGAACGCAGGAACAGACGCACGGATGGACGTGCGGACGCACGGACAGACGCACGCATGGACGGGTGTATGGACGCATAGACGGTCACACAGACAGACGGAAGCAAGAACGAATGGACGGACGGATGCCTCGCCCCACTCTCCATCATTCACCCCGTGGATATGCTGCCATTTTTTTTTTTCGTTAGTTGCCCTACGGCACTATCCTGGTTCGGCTCCACAGTTACTGCCTGTTCTAAGTAGACGTATTGCTATACAGTTTACAGATAGTTGCACAAACTTGTTTCCTTCATGGAGTCTAGGATGGACCTATGATGTGGACCATGTATCCGTAGTTGTAAGTCAGGGGGCCTGGTGCGCTGAAGTTCCGCACGTCGTAAATGGCGTCGGTGAGCCGTTTGCAGCCCAATGCAAGTCCATAAGATGGTTCATGTCGGCTTCGTGGACTGACGTAGATTGAACCTTGCTGCCTCGCCTTCGGCCAGTGGTTATTATAGCGCATTTCACCATGCTATAGTGCTCCCTTGACAAATTTATTTTGTACTCCAGGGCGTTCAAGACCAAGCATTGCTACTCCATCTCCTGTGCGGCTTATTCGCACATGCCTATAGTACAAGAAAAACCATATTTGAACTTTACAACAGCAATAAATAAAGATTCGAATTCATTCTATACTCCACGTGACTCAGCAGGGTTTTTGAACGGAATCTTCGTAGCCATGGGCTTTGTTCCACGTTCATATTTAACGAAGACGCGATTGACGCCATGGACAGAGTTTAGTCATATTTCCGCGGAAAATTCAGTGGTGTCTCGCCAGACAACTGGAAGTCGCTTTAACTAGATTACGCTGTCGTGTTCCGCCGTTAAATTTGCATTCACACAGGGCTGGTCTGGTGATATCCCCTCTATGCAACGTTTGTTTAGAAACCAAGACAATACTTTTTTCCCATCTCTCTACGATCAGCGCACATAAAAGCACAGAAAACAAGAAGAAAGTGAACGACACAAGAGCTGCCTAACAACTGAAAGTGTTTAACTTTCAGTTTTTTTTTTTATTTTCAGATTTTCTGTGCTTTATTGAGCGCTGATCATGATGAGTATGTTGCAACTATAGCCAAATTTGCTACGTTACGTCAGAACATCTTTTGTGATATCGCCGGTACCCAATACTAAAAAAAGACTTCTTGTTATTTCGTTTTCTAAGCTGGCCCGGGACTGAACCTGTCAAGTGACAGTGCACTTACTTTCGGTGCTTCGACTTTGGGCTTCAGCCACAAGAACGTTTTTGATGCCGTTTGTTCTTACTTTCACAAAACGAAACGAATGAGACTTCGACTTGCTATCTGTGTTTTATTAGTGCAGTAATAACTTAACATGAAAAAAATTTCACCTTTATTATAAGTAGTAGTAGCAATATAAATTTTTATTCACGTTCATTTGTAGCCAAGATAACGAATTACTGTCTGGTACGAACGGGAGAAACACAATTATCGCAGCCTTTCGCTTCACCGTTCGTTATTTTTCTCATAAATATTCAATACTGGGAATTTATAAATCGTGTAATACATTTTAGGTCAATCCCCTTAAGTGGGTATGAGCCATGTAAAAGGTATCATCATGCTCACGCGCCCGCATGCGCATGTCATTTCTGATATAAGAATAGCCACAGGCAGGTTTGTCCTGCTGTGCACGCGTACATAATGGCAACAAAAAGATTACCTTGTTAGTCTACTGTTATTATTATTTCCGGCTACGAGACTACCTGAATGCCTGACTCATAACTAACTCACTTGATGATCCTGCCGCCCGGTTCTTGGCCGATCCCCCTTTGTGGGCGAGTGCAAGCAAATCTAAAAGATCATCATCATCATCATCATCATCATCATCATCATCATCATCTACGCCCCCCCAGTCATCAGCGAATACGACTCTCGTGTGACTGGGGCTTCCCATTCTTGAGAAGATGGCAGCCCCTGCAACGTGGCTGCTACTCGTGTCGCTGGGAGCCTTAATCTCCACGACAGCTTCTGCTTTACAGACAGTCCCGATATCAACGAGCTCCTCGAGAAGTGCCTCGCTTCCTACGCACAATGTAAGCCATGGCTTCCATGCGGACAAGAAACTGGAGCAGCCGGCCGATGAAATCGGCAGCGCCGAAGGTGTCAACACGAGCAGACTTTTAAGCTCGCTCGTCAGGCATCGACTGCCCAAGTACAGCAAGGTGGTGCTCGATGGACAGCAGCATCCAACAGCCGATGTAGCTGCCAGAGATGCAGGTGGTACGGGAAGGATGCATGCCTTGGACAATTTGCGCGAGTTTTTTCACACGAACCAGGTGCGTACGCGTTTTATTTTTTTACTCATATAACGTAAAAAAGGACGTTAATTTAGTGCTTTACACAGGTTTGATAATATAACGAAAGAAAAAGTCGAGTTAGTTGGTGAGTAATACAATCTTATTGAAAAGGAGCGCAGACACACCCACAAGAAAATGAGGGAGAATACACAGCGGTGCTGTGTTTATTTCTAATTTATACGTTATTTCGTGAGCTGTTTCTTTTCAGAAACTTGACCAAACAGTTGAAGAAGTCAACCTGAAGAAATACCAACATAGCACAGGGATGTCGCCGACGAATATATGAATAGGCAGGTAGCTAACAGGAATGGCGTGTGTCTGTTGAGACGCATTAGCTTTCCAGACTTCTAACTAAGCTTGTTGACACCTCAAGTTTCTATTACACGTGCTTCGTGCGACAGCGGGGCTAATTTTTGGCGACATCGTTTTTACTGCCCTATAGTTGTCAAGCAGTTGAGAGGTTGCCTGTGTCTCTGGTCATATTTTCCTTTTTTTTTCGCGTTCTTACGCGAGTCACACTGCAACGACTAGTCCAGCGAGTAACCATTTGTGATCCATTCAACCTTCATGCGCGACGATAAGACGCAGTGAGAAAAGTGGGGCGCATCAAAGTGAAGAGGATGATGACACAGGCTTTCCTCTAGTTCATATTGTACAGCGCCCCGCCATTATGCATTTAAAATGAATCGTTATCAACTAGCTAGAATGGCTGTTTTGCTACAACTCGTAGGTGCTGATCTACATAGCCTGCTCGGGTGCGCTGACGATTCTGGTGATGATCTTCACGTTGGCGACCGTGTACGGCACTCGAAACGCGTCGCGCTCAGCGTCGGAAACATCGTGGAGGCGATTCGCCGAGTCGTACCCGCTCGTAGACCAGCGTCCCTTGCTGCTCGAACATGGCTCGCTAACTCAGAGGCTGCTAGACAGCACCGACGATGACGACGACGACGAGCAAGGGGCTGTCGGCAGTGACGAGGAGGACGTCCCCACCAGCAGCGTGGTGTCGCAGCGCGGTCTCGACGGCAAGAGAACACGCTCAGCCAGCTACGCACCGTCTGAAATAAGCGAGGT